ACTATTCAAACATTTTATCTGCAGTAATTCAAATTTTGTACACTAAGCATTCCACAGAGGTAAAAAGACATTTCTTGGATCAGATTCCAGCATTAACAATGAATGTTTAATATCCAAGACAACAATATTTGAAGGGGGGGCGGGGTGCAAAACCACCCAAATTTAGTACATACAGATAGATACAGACAGTGAGGTCACTCGGTTACCAAAGATAGGATATCATAAAACAGATGAAGCATTCCGTGCCCCAGGTAAAAGCAACCATGTTGACTGTCACCTTGCTGCTCTCAGCAGTTACAAAATGCTTACTTACTATAGCCAGTGGAAAAGTCCTTTTCCAGCAATCCCCAACCACTTGCTAGGTGTTTACCACCAGCTGCATTATGTTCAGTTGGTGGTGGTGTTTTTCTCTGGGTTTTGTTTTGTTGGTTTGATGTCAGGTTGGTTTTTTTAGCAGAAGCCGCCAATACGTAGTGAAGCTTTGACTTTACAGATGGCAACAAGACAGACAATGAGGGGTTCTTTCTGCACCTCACAGGCACTCTCTAGCTTCAACTTAGGGCTGAGTTTTGGCCTTTCCAATGGCTCTTCTCCAGTTTTGCTCAAGTGACACTGAACAGTAACTCAAAACCTGGGTGTGTTTTTTATCCAAACTGCTGCACGCCAGGGGGATGAACAGAAGCACATCTGAGAAGCTCCTTCAGGAATTAACCTGGCAAGGTGAGGGGGTGCCAAGGGAGCCAGAGGGGTTCACTTGTGCTGAAGCTGCTGCCTTTCCTCCTAAGTTGCTAATTTCCCACAGAATCAACTTACCAGGCCCTGCAGATACAGAACCCAAAATCGTCAAAGCCAAGATGGACTGACTGGTATTTTCTGGATATCTCAATCCATACTACTTCAGTGTCTTCAAGGCATTTTTTTTTTGCACGGGGTGTCCATCTGCTACAAAATGAACTGGAATGGAACTTCTAACAGACTCAGAAACTGCCACAAATTGTCACTGTTTTCTTATGCTTGGGATTCAAGTCCAGCGGCAAGGTATAAGCCTAAAAGCTAACACAGGCATCTTCTATCTCATTACAATCTCGCTCTAGTATTCCAGCCTAAGGATTTTGCTCGCTCTGTTCAAAATACTCTTGGAGTGGCACAGTTGCCACAGAGAAAGTTGGTCAACTGCTGTCTTAAGTATGCAAAAAAAATTGAGACACTAGGGAGAAAATAATTAAAGTAATGGAGCCAGTTTACCCATTCCTGCATGTTTTTATAATTCTTTTAGAAAGAAGCATCTCAGCTGCTTGTCCTTAAGAGCCCTGGAAATCTCTCTGCAGCGTGACGTATTGAAATGGTTTCTCTGGTCACTGACTCTCTCTCTCTCAGCACTTCAACTGAATGCATCAACGTCAGGGGAGGGAAGCAGTGTCCACTTCGGGGCATATGCCCCAGCACACAACGAAATCTCTCTTTCTCATTGCTGGGCCCCAGCCTGGCAAATAAACTCAGTGCTACTGAGACAACAGTGGCCTGAAGGGCACCCAACGTTCAGGATTTTCCACCAACAGCTATACCACGAAAGAGTAAGAGCATCAAATGAAACACTTGGTGGGGGGGTGAAAAATTAATCAGGAAACTGCAGAACAGAGTAGGAGCACATTGCTTCTGTGTGCCTTCACCACCGCCTCAGAGGTGACTCAGGACCTCATTCTATGGCCAATGTTTCTCAAATACATCAAGCTTACGCAATTAAAGACAGTAACAGCAACAGACCTCAATTAGAGCTTGCATGCAGCATCAGATACTTAGAAGTACTTAAAGCAGTTTTTCAGCAATCTTAAAAGTAGCTCTTAGAATTCTAAGTCAGCAAATGCTGGCTTTTTAAAAGTAATCTTGAGTCCTAACTCTCTCCAAAATGCATCACCCTTCCTGTTCACTTACCCTTTCTGCCTACTTTCAGTGCTTTTCTCTTCAATCTTCTATTTTTCCTTCAAACACTATTACCCACAAGTATCACGCACACAAAAAATGAACAGTTCAGCATAGACAGAATCAGAGCATAGCCCAACACCACAAAACTTTTAGCCTGTCATAATTTTATGCAAGTTTGGGTCAGGGTCTTTCCGATGCCCCCTGAAACTCTCAGACATCTCTTAAGTGGGAGGGAGAGAGCACCATCAATACTAAATACACTATGAACAACTTAACATTTTTTATTGTTGAAAAAGAAAATGGAGGTTTCTTTTTTGCATGCAGAAAGGAAAACTTACTGTAACTGAACATGTTTTAAGTGCTTTCCAGTTAAAAATACTTTTTAAAAAAATAAAAAATAAAAAAAATCACTATCAAAGTAGGTCACCTTTCCTGGTAAGAGGATCAATGAAAAGAGGACTTAGGCTCCCTGTTTCCAAAAAAACCGATCTGTTCACTTTATTAATGCAAATATGGGTTTAGTCACTTTTTTCCCCACGGATAACTTTTCAGATACAAGCCAATGGCTGGACTATCTTCAGCATACAGACAACAGCAGTGCCATAATTGTAGCTCTGTTTTTCCATGCATAGAAAAAAAAATATAATTAACACAGCTTCAGTTAATTTTATTATTATTAACAGCCCAGTGGGGAACAGTGCAAGTGACAAGAACTCAGCACTGCCAAGGTTTATGTGACATTTTGGGCAAATTATTGAATGAGCTAATTTGTACATAGCTACAAGCCCATGTTTAACAGAATTGTGTGGATTTACTGACGAGGAAAGACATTTAATTACAGCATCAGTGAATGAAATATTCACTTTATCTGGGGCACCACTAAAAACACGTCCTGCAGCCACAGTTATGCCAACAAGCAGAGGAGAATTGTGCTCACAAATGTAGAGGTTGTTAAACAGCCTCCACAGCCCTCCAGTACCAGGTGTCCATGCTAAAGCTGCCAACTAATACAAGATATAAGGAAAAAACAGGTGAAATAGTAACAGAAAGAGAGGAAAATTCTTAATAGGCAATGGCCACCAAACATCTTTATTGAATTAGGAAAAATTACAACTCAAAATAGCTGTTAGAGGAGGAGAACAGAAGTGCCACCTACAGCACTACACTCTAAGATGACTCTGGTACACAAAACCATTTCCACCTAGAGTTTAGAAACATAACCAAAGAACCATTACCTATTTGACTTCAGTCTTCATAGAGCCCCATTTTTACAAAATCTAAATGTGAACAAAACAGGAGTTGATCTGCTTTGCCTCTCAACCAAGAAACAGATGTGAATTATTCACTAGCATGTTCCTTGAATAAACTTTTATTTCCTACCTATTCCACTCATTCTACTCTCAATTAAAGCATTAGGAAAATACACATAATATTTTGTCACATCTTGCATATACCGCAAATACATGTCTCTCTACCTTCAGAGGCACTGAATTATTGGTCCAAAGTATAATTTCCTAACACTCCAGTGAAGGGTAATATTAATGAGCTCAGTTAACATTGAAAAAGAGCAAAGTAGGAGACGTCTTATTTAAATGAATACCTTTGCTCATTCCCTCAACATCCCTCCAAGACACGTAGCCTTTGAACTAAAATACTGAATATATTCAACAATGAGAATACAATTATTTGTTAGGCAGACCTGTGCACTTCAGTGTCTACTTAGCTGGTTACTTCTCTTTTTTTTTTTTCAGTTCATTTATCTTTGGAGAGACAAGGAAAATGATGATATAGGACAACAGCAGTGATTAAAAAAAAAGGAATAAAAGTAATTGCTTTCCCTTTAACATGGTATGACAGCTTCTCACCAAAAAAAAAGTGTGCTGCAAAATGTCTTAGGATGCAAAACATGAGTTTTTAAATGGAACTTCATTTGCATATTTTCATGGTCCCGCACATGTAATTCTATTTATTGAAATGAATCCTCCCACTCAAACTTTATCACAAGAGCCTTCTGAAAGAAGTTCATAAACCTCTGAAGGGATATTTTATTTTTCAGGTTAGAATAAGGGTTTAGCTGAAGTTCTACCACAAAACAAAAAAAACCACGTCGTTTTGTGTGCATTTCATCAAATTCCATCCCAACTCTTTTCTCTTTCAGTTTAATATTAGGGTTCAAGACTGCATCTGAAATAGCCAGAAGGTGCCTCTTGAAAGGAGTCAGGCTGGCAGCTCCCCACTACTTCTCTACTTCATGTTGTTTTGGTTTTAATAAATCGAACAATCCCATGGCTAAAATAATGTTTTGGGCACAAAGAAAACACTCATATTCAGCATCATGCCCAAAACAACATGCAAAAGTAAACCAATAAACATAATGAAAATACTCCATAACTTATAATGCTGACAACAACAAGCACACAGAGAATTATATGAGAAAGCTGCTGGGGGAATAAAAGAGAACTGTCTCCAAAAATGCAAGGCACTAAATGCTACAGCTAGAATAGCACAATCTTACCCTCTAGCTGAACCTTCCCTTTTTATCTCCGTATTCTAAATTTGCACTGGTTGCTTTGCTAAAAATATACTTTGAAGTTGTCATAGCTATTGGTCCTGGCTCATCTTTATTCTGCCTTTGAGAACAGCTAAAGTAATACATCACTGTAATTAGACTTTTATGGGTGCAAGAGACAGTTTGTTTCAGTTACAAAAAACAACAGAAAAAAAGATGAGCCAGAGAGGAAAGAAAACTAAATAGATTTAAATAAGACAGCTTCTGGATATGGAGAAAACTACCAAAAAAAAAAAAAAAAAAAAAAAAGCTAGTTATAGGCTTATTACAAAATCTCTACCTACAAAGCAGAATACAACATATGAGGGCTAAGACCATCTTTTCCAAGATGGGAAAGATAGACTCCTATAGTTTCCTATGTATAAACTGCAAATTAATTACTCTGTGTACATATCATTTGAATGAAAAGATTTAAGGCATATAAGATATATAAAAGAAAAAATCATACATACCTACCTCTTTTTAATATATCTTATATATGTTCCTAAGTATATATTTCCTATATTAGGCTAAAGGATATAACCAGGAAAAACAAAGGTTATTTGTTCATCCTCGTTACCTCTTACTACATTATTACCTATTACTGCACCTATGGCAGTGTGTTGATGGGGAAAAGCAACGAGTCAGGAGAACTTGTGGCTACCAAAAGAATGAAAAGGAAGTTCTATTCTTGGGATGAATGTATGAATTTGAGAGAAGTCAAGTCTCTGAAGAAGCTAAATCATGCCAACATAATTAAATTGAAAGAAGTCATACGAGAAAATGACCACCTTTACTTTATATTTGAATACATGAAGGAAAACCTATACCAGTTAATGAAGGACAGAAACAAGTTGTTTCCTGAGTCAGTCATCAGAAACATGATGTATCAGATATTACAAGGGCTAGCTTTTATCCATAAACACAGATTTTTTCACAAAGGTATGCAAGAGTGTGTGCGTGTATATACGTACGTATTTATACACCTCAAAAGAAAAACAAGAAAGCAGTTATCGGGGTCTACCTACCTAACACACTACATGCGTTTCCCTATCACAACTTTGCACACCACCTACTAATCTGAATCTTTAACCTCAGCTGAGTCTTTGCTATTACCACATGACAAATGACAGAAAGAAAATAGTGTCCAAAAGTGCTTTCTGCAGGTGGATCACCTCCACCTGACTCCGAAAAGATGTTCCTGCCACTTGTATAACAGCTTTATTTGTGTCTAAACAGCAACGCAAGTTAGCTTCTGAAGTCTTTTAGGCACTAACTTCTTGCAATTTTACACTAATGCCTTCAATCATTAATCATTCATGCACGTCTCGGAAATCAAACCCACAGTGCCCAGCTTCAGCATAAGGTTCCCCCAACAGCTCCAGTCAAGGTCAGTGGCATTAGCTTTAGTCTGGGACACCAATGTGTGTCAAAAGACTTCAGCAGTACAAATTGTTTGCTGCTGCACGAATAAAGGGTGTTTGCAGGTAATTTAGACAGTCCCCATTCAGGGTAATCTGAAGCAGGTACAAACATAAAGCTAGAAAGACTCCTTTGGCTCATTGTATCTCCTCTACTTTTGCAAGAAGCGACGGTCGCACAGGCCTCTTCAAAACATGTCTCAGCTTTGTCAGGCCTTCTCCCTGCCCAACATTTATCCCTTGGAGCACTCTTGCAGAGTAACTACATCTCTCCTACCTCATGTTGTTTTCCTCAGCTAAACAAGCTACTTGTTTCTAGTCCATCCTGTGTAACCAGGTCACCCTTTCTGAAGATGGGAGATGCTGACAGAGAGGACTACACCATGACTTAGATGAGGCTGGATCACTGCACTTTGCATAATACTATTGATACCAATCACTCCCTTGGAAATATTTCTCCAAGACACTCTGGGACTGTATTTGTGTTTTTCATTGCCACCCCACAATACCAGACCATGATGTCCTATGACTGGGAAACGCCAAGAGGGAATCTCCCAGCTTAAAACCATCCAGCTCTACCCTTACTGCAGCCACAATTTAACAAGCAGCCCATCTTGCACACAGGTATTTTCCCCTCTCTATGCAGCACCTGATGCAGTCGAAGTCGTTGACACAGTAACTCAGATAAAAAATTAGCAAGGTTGAAAGACATGGTCAACTTTATTTTACAGCTAAGGCACATGAGTATTTGCAGTGATTAACTGAAACTCCTTTTTCAATACAGAAGTGTAGAGTTAAAGCTGCCCTGCTGCCTAGCCTGCATGTTAACACATCTTGGTATCAAGACTGGGTTTAAGTTTATTTTCCAACATTAATAATGCTAGTTTGGGGGTTACTTATCAAAACTTGTGCATGTTTCACTTCCTGAAGTACTGATAGGTGCTTTCAAATTCAGTCCTAGTTTAATCCTCAGCTACCACTTTTAGCCTGGAAACAGAGTGAAAAAAATCAAGGAACATCAAGAGCAAGATGGTTTATTAGTGATTACTTTATGGCACTTTAACAGTATAGAAATATCTTTGGGTAAAATTTGAAGACTATAGGTCTGCAGTGTTACCAACTCATGCATTATCATCATTTTATGTTGAAGAATCAGTTAGAAAACAGAAGCAATTCTGTAAGAATCTAAGATTTCACATATGAAAATAAGACTCAAGGCCTTTACATGCAGCAGAATGCTAAAATATAACTCGAGAGACAAATAAAAAGAATGCCAAAAGCGTTCAACAGTTTAAATGGCTTTTAGGTTCTGTTGCCTCTCACTAGAATAGCCAAAACCTCAAAATGGTTAGGAAACACCAAAAAACAATGCAGACTACTTTCATTTAATGAAGTATAGAAGTTCCACACGTTAAATCCATCTCATTTTAGCATACTGCAGCTTTTTCTTTCTTTGCCATCATTTGGACTGTGCCCTTATGGGGTTTGTCTGCTTTTGGCTGCTTGGACAGTAACCTAGTGAGACAGTTTCTCATGTGCTGTATGGCATAACTTAAGAGAAAGCCAACAGTAGTCTTGGTCTTCTGACTAGCTCCCGATACCACTGACACGTTTCCTTTATCCAAACAGCTAATCTGAACAACAGTCTCTTCCCCCATCTTCCAGCTTTGCGGTCCACACGTTTTTTGCCTGCATACATCTGTTTTCACGACTGCTTGTCTTCACATTTCCTGCCCTATCACCATTTTGGACCAGGTCTGACAGCCACACTCCAGCTGTTTGCCACAGCTGGAACTCTAGAATCTGCCTGAAGAAAAACTGTTAAGGTAACATTGCATTCTTTACTTTTTTTTTTTTTGGGGGGGGGGTGTTCTATTTTTTTTTTTTTAATTATTACAATTCAGATCTTAAAACAGCATTTAAAAAGAGGGTAAGGCTGACAATTATTGAAGGTAGCAAACAACTCAAGATTTTTCCAAAAACATCTTGTGGCAGCTGCAAGCTTGTATTACATTTACTGAGAACAGTAATTGCTTTTGGAAATTAGATTTTCCTGCTTGTTCAAAAGATTTACAATGAGTAACCATAAAAAAAAAAAAAATCAAAATTTAACCCACCAAATGCCACCATTAGCAAGCACATATGGAAGGTGTGTTTGGGAAAATTCAGCAGAGATGGAAATGTACTGTCAGATAAGCCAGGTCATTTCTTTGATGACACCCTTTGACACCCCTCAGAGCGCGCATGCTCACAGTGGTTCTAAACATCTCTAACAAGTAGAGGTTGCCAAATCTTCCCCCTCCTAAGAGATCTCTCTCAGGAACAAGTATGCCTTGCTATCCAATCTAGATTTTCATTTTTGTGTTTTCATCCTTCTTGTTATAGTCCCCAGGTACTCCTAAACAATTCTTCCTTATTGGTATTTTCAGCTTTTATTCAGCCAAGCCCCAAATATTTCCATTTTTCTTTCAGTGACATGACAATTTGCCACTACCCTTTCTGAAAGAAGATTCAATTTGCCAAATTATTTTGGTAATAGGTCGCTTAATAGGCCCAGTGCCAGAAGGTGTCTGTGAACTGTTTGTCTTCCAATATGGTCTGCAGAAGGTGAACTTTCAGACCTGGATTATTAGAACAACGAGCCAGAGGGCTCCTGGGACATAGTAACCAGTACCTGGAAGCCAGAAAGGCAATCAAGAGCAGCTGGATTTTAAGGGAATGTGACAGGCATTTAAAATCAACGGATATTTTCTGTTACTGTTTGCTTAGAGTGTGTTTTTCTCCTCTCACTGACTTTTTATTGCATGTTTTTCCTTCTGTGCTGCAGCACCCACACAACGCTCACAGACTGAAGTGAGGACTGGGATGTCACTCACTTCCGCAGAAGCCCTTGTGTATTGACATTACCTGCTCCCACCAAAAGGAGAGTAGCGCATTTCAAACAGTCTTTTTAAGCACCACATACGACCCTTCCAGCAGTAATCTCAACATCAAAAGAACATTTTTTTAAAAAATACATCAGCATCTTCTCCAGATGTGACCAGACCGATTAAAGAAAACACAGTTCCTACATTTTACTCACAGAGCAGTACTTAAACCAGAATGTAGTTTCTGAAGCACCCTTAAATTTTTCATTGGACATCACCATGCCACACCAGAGAGATGCCAGCGCACCCTTACTGCAGCACTACTCGTAGCCCTGTAACCAGCCCAGGGCTAGGCACCGAGACATACAGACAGATGAGAGGAAGCACAAAACCTAGGAGCAGGATGCAGCTTGCTTAATTCTGGGTATCTACCATATGACATAAGTGCCCGACAGCCAGGTGTGGAGGCACCCACAATAGTCATCAGAGACCCAGCCAGCCCAGCTGATGTAGTTTAGGGCATGTTTCTTTTTAACAAGTGAAGGGTGAGGCAAATCACACCCCAAACCCTACTTATCTTAAGGAGTGCATCTGCACCACCTAAGACACATGCCTTCCACAACACTAGGGCAACCCTGAGTCTTCTGGAATAAAAAAAATAAATAACATGCCTCACAATCTGATAAATATCAGCCCCCAAAAGGTTAACCCTGAAGGTAGAAGGAAGTAAAACCTATCTCACTGAGACCATCTGCTGTAGCAAGCAAAGCACTTAGAATCTATTTGTTTGCAGGAGTTCACAGAGACTATCACAAACTAATTGGAGTCAAAATAAATTAGTTTATTTTGTTCTGCATGGCCAAAATCCATCCCACTTAGTTTTACCTACCTAAGTAAAGAGAACAGCTCGTTCTATGCTTTTCTCCATAAAGAAAACAGACAGAGGTTGCTCCAAAGGGACGTTCAGCACCGCCTAAGATCTGAGCTGTCCTTTAGGCATGCATATCTCACTAGTGATGATAAAGAAAACCAGGCTCCCACAAACCATCCTCTCGACTTATGAGCTTCAAATAGACCTCAGTGAGTCTCAGTAAACAAAGCATTTAGAATTTGGGGTTGTACTTGTAGGACTTTCCCCCCCTCATATCCCACAAACGTGACAGCTACGACAAGTGACAAAATAGTTGACACTTAAAGCAGGAATTACTGTGGTCCCATTCTTGAAGCCCACACTTATTTCTATTTTCCTTAAGGGGAATCAAGAATTGCATCCCTGCTGTGAGAAGCAAAGCTTTTCTCTTACTGTGAGACCACACCAACACTGAACTGTATGGCATGCTGGCAAATTGTGTTCTGTATTTCAGGGAGTCCAGTGCAGTGTTTTTCTCATTCATTACTGGCAATCAAGCCATTTGAAAGGAAATGAGAGATGAAGAGCTAAACACTCATTTGGAGAGAGGAGACATAAGAGAATAAAAGTCTTTTCTCAGATTTTGTATACAATTTCTCAAAGCTAAGGAACATATAATTGATGTGTAACACACATAACTAATATCAAACGTAAATTAGATTTAGAAAGTCAATCATCAATGGAAATTAACTTTGAAGAGTAAGAATTACTAACCCTATTCATAAAAGCAACAAAAACCCTCAACAAAACAAATGTGATAGGCCCACATTAGCTTAATATTGACAATACAGAATACAGTATTCCTGAACAATGCATGGGCACGCTATTCTAAAAGATAACCACGTATTTGACAGATGACTGTATTATGAGGGGCTGAGAGTAGTGACACCAGTAAGGAGAGATGAACCAAACAGTACGAAGAGGCTCCTCGTTGATACCACAGAACTTGCAAGCCTTATTCTCCAGCAAAGATAATGAAACACCAAAGGGCAAAGAAATGGGAGAAATCCTGAAGCAGAAATGCCATGAGATTCACAATAAGTGAGGCATGTTCAAATAAAACATAATGTTTTTGAGAAGAGGTAAATGGATTCTCTGCAGTCACAGATTCAGTGCCCTAATTCTAGATCACGCAACCAGAAACTTCTTTCACATCCTCTAGCTGCTTCAACCTGCTGGGGTGTTGGACCTCTCAGCAAACAGGTTCTAAAAAGATAATCTGACTAACTGACTACCGCTGCTTCCAAATTAGCAGCCAAAGTGTGTTCATAACACATTCAAAACAAACAAGCCTACACATTACCCAGAAAATTTTCCCATGTTAACAATTCCAGATTCCAAACCAAATATGCAACAACCAAACCAAAATTACAGTTATCAAAAAGTAACACTTTAAGCAACTTATGCTCTTTATGAAACCCAAACTATTTTCCCAGCATATGAAAGTCATCAAGATTGCAGTAATGCCAGCAGAAAACAGTATCATGCACAGTCAATGTATTTTAGTTATTTATAGCTATTTTGCAAGGTGTAAAATGAGTGAAAATACAAATTTTACCCAGGATCGTACTACAAATGGAACTGTGATTTGAGTTAGCGTTGTACATCTTGAGTTGACAGAATGGTAGTTTGAGCCATGCAGGAAATCTTATTTTTGCCAGAAGGATAAAGCACTTTCACATGCTACATAGCAAGCATTTCACAGGCTAAATAAGAAATATTTACATTATTTCATTACACTAGAGAAATACTCAATTTCATAGATAACTGATATACCTACACCAGACTAAAACAATGCCTTAGCAAATGGGTTAACAGATTGCTTTCCTTCATCTTTTATACCACCTCCAAAGTACTTCAGAATAAGACATTTTGTCATGGTGAAAGAATGTTTTTTGACATCATATATTGCTCTTATTCTACCTTTGTCTAATTCATTTTTCACTAGCACTCCAGAGGTTTATTTTTTATAATTGAAGCAATGCAATGGGAGGTAATAACTACCTACAAAGAATCAAATAGTAAATTATGCAGCAAAAAACATAATATGAAAATATAAAAAAATGTACTAAAAGATTGTTGTATGCCAGCTGCCTTTATGCTTAGCGTGATAAAACTTGGAAGGTGCATACAGATATTTCAGACTTAAACTTGAACAATTAGCTAAAGTCACACCACAGCTATCCACAAGAAGTTATAGATTTCAAGTTATTCCTCTGTCACCCTCTATTTTATACAAACAAGCTTAAATGCTTCCACCGAACAGAAGACAACTTCCAAGCTCTCAAATGCTGCAGTTTTAAATAACTACTTTCCTGAAAACCACTTCAGCTATGCATCCAAGCAGACTGAAACATACCTTGGACTTCAAAAGGGGCACAGGATCCTTTCACAAGCCAACCATGTAAGAAGGGATTTTTGCAAAGTGCTCCAAACCCTTACCTTTCTGTAGACTATCATATTTGGAGAACTCTCCTCCGGGTCAGTGGTCTCCACGTTACTCGGATCAGCGGATGCTTGGGCCATGTCTGCCTCTCGTCGCTCAGACTGCAAGGACAGAAGCACAAGTCAGCAACACTCCGGGCTGCAGGCGAGCACAGCGACGACACGCAACCACCTCTAAGGCAGGTGGACAGATGAGGATGGGACAGAGGGAACTGCACTCCAGGCTTCACTCAGTGCAGGATTTTACCACCTCACGTCCGATGGCAAAACGCTTTGCGCTGATCCGCCCGAAGCACGACACCCCACCAGTGAGAACCACCACCGGAAGGGTGGGTGTAGCAGACCGTAAGGCACGCCAAAGGTTGTCCCTGCGCACACCGGAGCCACCTTCAGATCCCCCCAAACCTGAGGCGGCAGCTGGGAACCAGGAAGGTTCCCTCACCTCTTCTCACAACACAGCCAAGACAAAGACAACCAACCGTGCACAATACTCTGCAACCCAAACTATGTCCTAGAAGCATAGAAATGCTGTTGTCTGCTCCAGGTCACGTGTCAGGCTTGAGGCAAAAAAATTACGAGAAAAAAAATAAAGGCACAGTGCAGGAAGGAGACTTAAAATTTAAAGCCAAGTGCTGTATTTTAGATTTTTCTTCCACCAGCACATTTGGCAAGCTACATGTTAAATTAAATGCTGTCGTGAGGCCACGTGATGACCTTTCCTAGCCTAAGAGGTAACATTGCCTCTTAAAGACACTGGCATTAAAGCTGTTTGACAAGCTCAATTTCTTTAACACCGAAAAGTGCTGGAATTTCCCATCTCCTCATATTTCATTAAAAATTGAGATAGAAAAAGTCTAAGCATGTTCACGCATACGTAATCTCCACATTAATTCCTAAAACACAGTTCACCACTAAACCATCTTGCTTATTTAAGGAAGAATATTCTTTCCTATTCCTTACTCTTACACTTTTCACATTCCCACAGGCAACAAAATGCCCCAGCATATAGCATACACATAAAGCATACAATTAGCTTTAAAATTGAGCCCCAAGCCATTCTAGCCACCAGTTCTCAGCACCCAAGGACAAGTCAAGCACCAAAATCGGGCAGCCTCAGACCATCTCCCAGCTCTGTCCAGCCTCAGCAGTGATAAGGCTGATGCTGTAACACAGCAACCTCCACTGGAGCCAGAAGCAGCTGAGATAACCCTTCATGCAAGAGGTATCTCTTTAAGCAAGGCATAAGAGAGACCGAGGTTAAATAATCTACATCAATCATTCATTTCTTTCTTTTATAAAGTATGCATGCACGCACATGACTGTGAGCACAAATGCATTTGTCCATGAACATACCAACTTTGAAACTCCGTCATACGGTTCTAGCTCCAACTAAACAATATGCAAAAATATATCACCTTTCAAAGGTGTGTTCAGACCAATTTAGACACTATATTTAAAGGACATAAATTTATTCTACCTCCTATTAAACTCTCGTGTCTTCCTAGAAGCCCAAAAACTGCACTGTTGTGCCAGGTAATGAGCTAAAAAGGAAATGGAATAAATTCTCTAAGTAAAATTATGAGGTGCAAAAAAGATTAAACTGTGCAAGTGGTGAAGGGTAAAGCATTTTAAAATTATAGCACTTGGAATGATTTACACTAATGTTCGTTCTCACACCACTTCTTAGTCACAATTTCAAGGCACTGAAGAATTAGGCTCTAGGTATCATCACTCAGTTGAACGGAGCAAGAACTGGGTAGAGATTTTACACAACTTTTGGAAGGCAACTACAAAGCAGAGCTGAAAGCAAACATCAAGTCACATGAGTTTCAGCTTCACCTGCAGTACACAAAGACCATGTTCACAATTTATATTATATCTGAGATTATATATGCACACTGTAGAAGAAAACAATTGCAATTAACTCTTAATTGAGCAATGCTCCTTTAAAGAAGAAATTTTCAATTTCTAATTGAAAAGCCCTATGCAGCATTATTTAGCTGTGCTTCACTCACTGCATTATTCACTTTGAGTGTCCACATTTACAAATTCTCTTGCTCTTGTTATGCTGTCAGCTTACTTGATCTTTTCTAATACACTTCAGGGTTCTCCCCTACAGCGCATCTTGAAGCTTTTCTTGTACTCTGGTGCAACAAGACAAAGACATCCTGCACAATATGCAGTAGTGGCTATTGCACTGTTCACAGTGACATTGAGGGAGTCACTGACTGCCTCTGAAGACTCTAAAAGGTAATCAACAGAAACGAACCTGGTTTTGGAAGAGAGAAATTTGCAAAAGTGCTTCCCACTGGTCCCCAGCATCCCCTGCTGGGTTTTGGTCAGGAGCAGCAGGAGTGACAGCAGGATGGATGTTGCAGGGGACAGGGCTGGAGACAAGGTGACGAGGTAGGACCAAGGCACATCCCAGAGCAGAGACCAGCGGGGGCATGCCCTCCACACAGCCTGGGCACTGGCATGAGCCTCAGCAGGGCCTTGGAGGAATTGTCAAGGCTTTGAGCATCACCCAAGTTTCTTCTCTTTCTCTCGGACTGCTTTTTTTTTAAAAAAAAAAGCACAAAATCCTTCCTTAGTGGGTATTCTAATTCTAGAGGAAAGCAAGACAGTGATACGACAGGGGCATGTTCTTGGCTCTTCAAGGTGAGAGCACGGCAGTGCTGGGCCCCCACGGACCCACAAGGGAGCAGAGCTCAGCACCCAGTGATGCAGGGCTGCTTCCCTGCACTCCTGCCCTGCGACAGCCTCGTTTCAAGCCGATTCACAAGGAGGGCATTCCCACTATCCTGAGGATGGTGACACTGCCTTAACACCAGACAGACACGGACAAAACTGCCGGCTACGTGGCAGCAGCACTTCCCAACGAGGAGCAACACCAGCACAGCCCCAAGGCAGCTGCGTTCCACCTCTGCCCAGGGACAGGCCACCAGAGAGAAGAGCAGAGAGCCCAGAGCCGGGGGCCCAGTGATGCCAACTACCTGCTGCAAACACCAATGAGACTGCTCATGTTCAAAGTTCAGTTGTTTTTTTTAACCTAACACTACGGTAACATCTTGCATTTGCAACCCTTTAGTTAATATAATGGTATGTGAAAGTCCACATCTGACTTGCATAGTTCTCTGTTAAAATACAAACCAGCAAAAACCAGTAGCCTAGTATGAAAAAAAAAAACAAACCACAAAAACCACAGGACTATTTTTCCAAGGGATCCTATTGAAATCTATTCCTTCTACACCATTTTCTTCCGCTCTTGCCAGCCCAGTCTAGTCAAGACACAAGCAGAAAGGCAAGCCTACACCGCTACCCAAGTTAAAAACAGAGGCTGCCCTCTGACCCTTTCTCTTGGCACATGTTTTCAAATGCATCAGCGAGAAGAAAACCCTGGTCTTACAGAGACATTTCAGCTACACGGGACTGAGAAGGACAAAAGGGAACATTTTATTTAGGCTTTAAAAAAATTAAAAGCACTCATGCATAGCTTTCAGTTAAGAGCCTCATCAATTACTATCTGAAGAATACTGGCAGCTCCTTACTCCTAAGGGCAGTTTACTACATTACTACATTAACTTGTACCACCCTGCATCCACACACCAGCAATCTACATCCAAATGCGTATTTTCAAAATATAAATGGTCCCTAAATTCCAACTCTCAGGTTCAGAAAACGCTGTTTTCCCACAGCTGTTTTTCTGACAATAGCCATGCTTTCAGCAGCAAAAGTGATAAAAATTGAAAAGCATTTGCATTAACCGTTCTCTCACCCTGCCACACACAAGAGGCAAATCAGCAGTCTTCAACTTCTTGTTTATGGGTAAGATGGCCTATTAAGCCTTTAAAAAACACTCCCAAAAATATGCTAAAAAGAGAGGGTACATTTGTCTCTTGCAGATTTTTTCCTTTTTGTATTTTATTCTCTATTATAGAACAGTTCTGCTTCTTCCTGAGAAATGTAAGCACACTGGACTAGACAGGCAGTTGTTGACAAAATGGACTGAATCACGGTAGAGTTTTATCTCCCTCTTATCTGATCAGGCTCCTCAAACTCTGCTCAAAAAAACAGAAGCTGTAAAGAGATATGGCTCCCACATGTTACAAAAGGATCAATGAATTCCTTTGAGCTGGAATAACCAATTTAAAAAATGCTCTGAAAAGGAAGAAACCTGTTTTTTTTTCCATAGCTCACCTCTTTATTATTAAACTTCAGTATCAGAAACTCTAATGTTCATCCAGAAATACTGTCAGCACCTAATCTCCAAGTATATGTAAACTTAATGAAAACAGCTAAGCACTAAATTAAATGATTCCCATTAGTGTTCTCAAATACCCTGACTACTGTAAGAAAAGACTATTGTAAATAAGATTGCTGTAAGAAAACTCTTATAGGCAGAAACCCCCATGTGCTTCACAGAAATCACCTCCCCTCTAGAAATTCCTATAGATTCTGATTTTTATAGATGGGAGTAAGGAGAGGGAGGGAGAGAGGGAAAAGAGGGAAGGAGGAGAAAGAGGGAGGGAGGGGTACAAAGCAAGAAGAAATTCTGCAGAATGAACTATTTCTTGAAAATATCGCCTGGATTTAGAAACGCAATATAAGGTGATATTTGAACTCTTATTCTGCATTTTAATAAATAACTTGACACTTAATAAGGAAAGTTTGCAGTGCAAAACATTTCCAGTACATCCGAGTTAAAATGAGATAGTTTGCTATAAAAAGTAAAAATTTAATCCCAGAAAACAGAATTTACTACATGAATCCTCATGTAGGTACTATCAGCACTGCTCAGCTGAAATACAATTTTGGGTGACAGTTAAGTGGAAATTACCTTTCTACTATGTAATTATTGTATTTCAAGGGCAGCTTATAATTGACGTGTAGTGCTAATGTCAAATCATGAGAGATTAGAGCTTTAGCATACAATCATAGAGTAAAATATAATTTCATGGCATTAATACCTAGTTAATTTTCTAATTAGTGAAATACATCTTGACTACATGACTTTTCACATGCCTGAGAAATCACATAACCACCTGTCTTGCTGAACTTATAATTACCTAATAGGAAAAATCCCTACTTGGTCTGCTAGAATATTTAGATCAAACAGATCATGCTATTAAGGTGACAGGAGAGAAGAAACCGGGGCAGGGAATATATATGAAAAAAACAAGTTACTCTGAATTTGATTATTCACCATTAAGTTGGTATTTCACATCCATTACAAAAGTCTCTCTAGAATTGCACTGGGAGGAAAGAATCTTTATGTTCCTGGGACATGGGCAAGCCAAGCAGGGTGTGTAGATTACAACACCTAGTGTACTGTAGAAGTCACCCTGTTTACCAAGACAAATGCATCAACTAGGGGATCCCCAGGTCAAACCTGGGCCATGCTCTGCTTTTAACTGGTGTGGCTCAGTCCAAGCATTGCTCCTTCAGAAGTAAACCTGTACCACTAGCGAAAAAACTTTCCCAAGAGGAACTGAGGCAAGTTCCATCTGAGTGAGGC